CAAACGAACTAGGGGTGGTGGAAGGGGAGGAGGGCGGGGGGTGGGAGTGAGTGGGTGACAGGCACTGAGGGGGACACTTGATGGGATGAGCACTGGGTGTTATTCTGTATGTTGGTACATTGAACACCAATAAAAAATTAATTTATAAAAAAAATAAAACGAGTCTCTTGTAAAAAAAAATAAATAAATAAAAATAAAAATAAAAATAAAAAACTCCTTAACCTAAGTGACTCCATTTCACTTACCTCTCTAACATGTCTAAAGTATGTGTTTACATAACCACTCCCTGTCTGTTGACTCTCTGCTCTGAGGGATGAGGATCATCTCCTTTATCCTATCCTGTACCTTCCCACTCCTCTTCCCACTTGACTCTGTTTTGATCTCTTTCCTCCCATGGTCACATCTACATTTTTAAACAATCATCTTCCAATTAAGAGAGTGAAAGAAAATCTGCAGAAATGAGGAGAATTGGAGAAATTATGTTTCCAAAAGAAATTTATAGAAATAAAATAATGGCGGATTTTTTGAAACAAAATAAACCCAAGGAAAGATGGGCAAGTCATGTAATAGGAAACGAAGACGAACAACATTTCTCAAAGTGGTGATTGTTATCATAACTGCTGTTAATGTGGCTGTGATTTTTAATGTAATTTCTAGAAAGTAGTTCCTAAAGTAGAAGGTAAATTATGTGTAAGAGCACCTGAAATGAAATTTTCAGATGGTTTCCACAAACCTAGGAGTTTGGAGGAAGAAAAGCAGAAAATAAAGGAAGAGAAAGAAAGGCAAGCTCAATATTTTGTCTCATTCAGAAGTTACCATACTTCTAGACATTGAGAAAAAATATATATAAATGTATAAATTATTAAGGATAAGTATAGATAAAAATAGATTATAGAACTTTCAAACCACTAGAAGGGGCAGGAAGAAAGAACTCCATGACCCATCTAGTCAGGAAAGACAATACACAAAAGAAAGCATGTTTCATAGGAACATAAAATAAGGGAGAATAAGTCCAAGAAAATCAGTAACCACAACAAATGTGACAAATTAAGGCACCCTATTAAAAGATAGGCTTTATCTTCTGGAAGAAAAAAATCCCATGTTTCTTATAATAGATCATAATAATGATGAAAAGAACAAACACTGGGATGCCTGGGTGGCTTAGTGGTTGAGTGTCTGCCTTCAGCTCAGGCCCTGGTCCCAGGGTCCTGGGATCAAATCCCATATCAGGCTTCCACAGGGAGTCTGTTTCTCCCTCTGCCTGTGTCTCTGCCTCTCTCTGTGTGTCTCTCATGAATAAATAAGTAAAATCTTTAAAAAAAGAGCACTTATTACGTGCCAGACTTTATTCTACATACATTGTATATAGTAAGTTATTTAGAGTAATATCTAAAATAAGATCACAGAGAAAGTAATTCTTGCATTAAAGAGGAAAAGAGGGGTGCCTGGGTGGCTCAGTCAATTAAGCCTCCGACTCTTAGTTTCAGCTCAGGTCATGATCATAGGGTCCTGAGGTCAAGCCCTATGTCAGGCTCCCCACTCAGAAAGGAGTCTGCTTGTTTCTCTCCCTCCTCCTGCTCTCTCTCAAATAAATAAATAAAATCCTTTTTTTATTTTCCTGTTTTTTAAAAAGAGGAAAATAAAACTAAAATTACAGGCTACTTGATAATAAACAACAATGAATAAACTATATATGGGATGTGGTCTAAGAGATACACAGAGAATAATGACTTGCCTTATGTGTACTTATTAGAAAGCTCTGATACAAAATAAATGAGATCATGGGCATATCAACCAAAATGTCAGAATAAGGATAATAAAATTACTTCCTCCAAAAGAAAGAAAAGAAAAAATCTAAGATGAAAATAGCTATCAGAGAAATAATGAAATAGGCTCAATGAAAACAATAGTTTTTTATTCAAAAAGTGAATAAAGCAAACTTTTAAGCAGAACTTCAAAAGAAAGAAGGAATTTGAAAAGGAGCACATTAACATCAGAAACAATAGGTATAGAGGTTTACTCATCATGAGATTACCACACATAGTTTAAACCAATAAATGTGAAAACACTGGCAAAATGAATAATGTTACAGGAGAATATAAAAGATCCAATATGATTTGTTTGTGTATTCTGTATCTGAATAGACACTATCAGTATACAGTTTTACAATAGTTACACATCTATTGTCCCCAAAGCCCATGTCCAGATGGCTCTGAGTTAATTCTAAACAACAGTTCTGTGGCAAATAAAAAAAAGTTCTTAGCAGAGAAGATGGAAAGTTTCCTTACTTGTTCTAAGACAGCTACACGTTCCTTTTACTTTTTTTAGGATTTTATTTTTAAGTAACATCCACACCTGACATAGGGCTCAAACACATGGCACTGAAGTCAAGAGTTGGATCCTCCACCATTTGAGCCAGCCAGGTGCCCCAGCCACATAATCTTTATTCCAAACTGAATGAGAAAAATGCTGGGGGTGGGGAGTGGTGAGAAAGACAAATGAAAGGAAATTATATCCTACCTCACTGATGAATATAAAAGAAAAGCTGATCTTAAATACTGGTATGCAAATAGAGAATATTGTAAAAGTACTGCACTATGACTAAGTAGAATTTATTCTAGGAATACGAGAATGGCTCAGCAATGGTGTAGATGACATAATGAAGCCCATTTGGAGCTGGGGTAGGAAGCACAGATTTGGTGCCCATGGTGTGAAGCACCATTTTTAAGAACAGCCTAATCTTTTTTTTTTTTTCATTACAATCTCTTTATATAATTCAATCTCTGTCCAACTGTAAGCTTGAGCTGGCCCTCTCAAAAAGCATAAGCAAGGTATACTAACCAGAGTTCATCCACTTCCCTCCTCCAAATAGAAAGAACTCATGTGAACACTGTTCTCACAGGGCCTACATTCAGCGGGGGGCTTCTTTACAATCAAGTCTCGTTCTACACCGTTCTGCATATTATGATAGGGTGCTGGCTAGCTCTACCACAAAGGAAGTCTTCTGAGGTGGGAGTGCTCAATGCTGATGCCTTTGGGCAGCACACTCCAAATCATCCCAGAAATTCCCATTAACCTTGGACACTTTGCTGGTTGGGCAGTGTGTGCAGCCCTTGTTGCTCCACACCTCACCCAGGACCCAGCTAAAGATGTGCACCTGCAGCTCTGAGAGCAGACAGTGTACTTCCTTCACTTTCTCAATGCGTGTGTGTGCAATATTTACTGTTAGTGGGACAAAAGTACAATGGTGGGTGTGTGCCAGTTAATAGGCACAGGAGTTTCAGTCTGAGCTTGTTGGAGAACAACAAAGGAAGTTATGTAATGAGGAAGCTCAGAGGACCATGCTTTGGGCTGAGAGGGATGGGGAGAGTGGGTGATGAGAAATTAGCAAATCTGTTCTTTCTGACCATGAACAGTACAGAGCAAAGTGCATCTCTGTGATAACTGTCTCCTCTTTTGTATGTCAATCCATGCAACTGATTAGTCTCCTTTGTAAGCAGTAATTTGCTGGTGTATGAGAAATGCCAAAGGCTAAGGAAACTTGATCCCTAAATTCCAAAATTGTAGATGAAAATACCACCACACAAAGACATTTGCCAAGTATGCCCCTATTAGGTACACAAGTTCAAACTCTAGGGGCAACTTGAAGAATGAGAAAGAAGAGATGTGTACACAAAGAAAGGTGGAGTTCACCCATGCAGACACTGGAAGAAGCAGTTTAGAGAAGGATCTTGGGAAAAGAGTATGGATTAGCAGAAAGAAGAGATGGGTAGAATGCCATATGAAAGAGCATGATGGCTGCAGGTGCTGCCTGGTGAAGATCAGGGGTGGGAATAGAGAGGGAAGCACTGAGAAGAGAGGTGGAGATAGGGATGACACACATTTCTCCATGAAAATTAGGGAAAACAGGTTTTTTTCAAACTCAGGAGAGGAGATGATTCCCCAGCCTTCCCAACCCTGCCTCTGTACTCACAAGTTCATGCTAAGCCCCTCTTACTAACATTTCTTCTGCCATCTTTCCTGGGCAGGGAAGGATTAACTCATCCACTTATTAGTTAAGCATGACTTTTTGCTCCCTCTCCTCTGGGCCCCATGCTGTGTTTGAGGATGATCCTCGTGCTGCAGAGGGGGTTCTCTCACTGCCCCACTCCCAAGCTCCTTTAGACAACCCCCTAGGGAGGGCTAATGTAAGCCAAGGAGAGTTGCTGTAAATGACACGATGGAGAGGGTTGGATAGAGTAGGTTCTCTACTGTCCAAGGGCAGACAGAAATCCTTCCCTTCCCACTGACAGCCCCCCGGGAATTCAGACGTCATTCTCTTTTTGGAAAAATCAGGCAATTCTGGGAGTCTTTGAGGGTGTCCTGCATGTGAATGAACTACACTGTGCCGCAGCTCAGACCTGTCCCCTAGGAGAGATATAAGTCTGGGGTTCAGCCAGGTGGCTGCACTATGGCCTGTGGCACTGTGGTGGTGTGAGGTAGTGCTTGCTTCTTTGCTGAGCTCCATTCCATTAGAGAAATCCCACTACAGTGCCCCCACCCTATTTCCAAGTTGTATGTGACTAGCTCTTGCAGGTTTTACTTATGGCAATACTCCAAGGCGATCTTCCTTACTTCCCTTACCATGCCGAGAAGGGCATAGCTGGTTAGGAGTCGGGCACCAACCCTTCATGCATAGTCCAGTCTAGTCTCTACATCTTTCACGTGACACTGAGGAGAGAGGGGCTAGCTGGGGATGGCCATCCTGTCTCCCTGGGGTCCCAAAGATCCCAGGAAGCCAATTGGAGCATTTTCTCCCTGCTCAGAGTCTCTGCAATTCAGTGTCTGCAAAGCTTCCAGCTACCTTTCCTCTCCTTCTAATACCTTAGGGATATATTGTCCATGGAAATTTAATTCATGACTTCTCTCACAGAGGCAGGATGTGACAGAGACTTCCTTGTTTTGTTCTGATCACTTTGGTTTTTATAGCAAAAGGCAGAGCAAGCAGTGTGTGTCTTAAGGTAGGGGGGTGGATAATTCTGCCACAGATGAGTTGGCTCCCTGAATTCAGTTGCCAGCTCATGTCCAGAGGACCTTAATACCTGGGACCAAGAAGTTTTACTACAGCCTTGCCTTTGCAGGGAGTTGAGCTCACCAGGAACCATCTGCCATATCAGACCCCTTGCTGCTACCTGCCAGGTATGTGGCTCACTCTCAACACCTGTCTAAACCTCCACCTTTCAGGAATGGGAAGCAGAAAATGATGGCTTTGGAGAGAGGACAAGATGGGTTGGCATCACCTCATAGGCTGAACCTGGCTGCAGGATGGGTTGTTTCAAGTGTGGCTAAGGGGAGATATTCATTCAGGCAGGTTCACCCGAGAAGGTAGGATTCTGACATACCCCATTTTCCCTCCAGCCTCCCTGAGGTTCCTTCTTGGGGCAGTTCATCTACCTTGGAGACTAACAGTGGAAATCCTCTTCTGGACCAATAGAAATCTAACCAGAGTAAGCCAGTGAGCATTAACTGAAAGCTTGTGGAGGGCAAAACATTGCAGTGGATACTGGAGGGGGAGAGAGTGGGAGAGTCCTCTGCAGGTGTACAGCTTAGGAAGCAGGAATGGGAGAAGGACAAACGCTCTGCTGTTACACAGCTCAAGGTCACAGAAGTGGCAAAAGCAAAAAAAAAAAAAAAAAAAAAAAAAAAGCTTTAAAGAGATACCCAAGAGCTCAGAGACTGCAAATTAAAAGAGTGTAGTTCAAGAATTGGAATTGCGAAAAGAGAAGAGTGGAATGGGGTTAGAGAGATGCCAAGGAGAAAATGTAAAGGAACAGGATTCCCCTGAGTGGAGGGTGGCAGCTTTTCTTCATCAGTGTGTATGACCTTTATTGCTCTGTGTCTTCAAGGGACATTCCAGAGGCTCCCAGAAGAGTATAGAGAATATGTGTCCCCCCGCCCCGCCCCAGAAAGGCTAGCTCCAGCCTGAGACCTCTTTCTGGCTGTCCTTCTCCTCCCTGGGTCTCCATCTTCCCCCAGTATCCAGTGGGTCCAGACTCTGTCCCCAGCAAAACCTCCACAGCAGGTGGGCAGGAGGGGTCCCTATAAGGTAAAAAGGAGCACTCAACCCCTCTGAAATCACTTCAGGAAATCATCAGTCTCCTTCCAAGTTAAAAGCTTTTCAATACCTGTGCATTGGAAGCAAGGGGACCACAGCACATGTACCTCCTATCCAAGAAGATGCTGTTGGTAAGGTCTTAGGGAGACTTCAGTTTTAAGTTGTTTTATCAGCAGTAGGAGTTTGGAATTTTTATTCTTTTGCAGGCTGGTTGCTCATGCTTGCTTGTTTGGTCTTGTGGCTGAGACCCAAGCACTCAGTCTGCTTCTGCAGTGCATGTGAGATGCTGTCGGGGTGAGTGCTGTCATCTGTGGTCAGGTATTCCCTAACTCGAGTCATGTTCTGGATGATAGGAAAACAGGAGGTGAATCCAGCTCTGACACACAGCACAGCTGGTGAGTAATCTGTATCCGCACAAGTGCAGAGCTTAGGAGAAACCCCTCTCCACCACCTCCTAGCTGTATGTGTGGGCAAATTGCCTAGCCTCCTGTGCCTCAGTTTCCTTGTCTGTGATTTGGACCTGTTCGTGATAATAATAATAATAAATACTTCTAGTATAAGTAAGTGCTTGGCAGATAGTAAGTGCTCAATACATATTAGTCTTTATTACTGTGGGCATAAGCACATGTAGGCCTGTGTGTATATGTATTTATGACCTCCTTCCCCTGCAACCTCCTCAGTGATAGAATTCACATAGTTGTATCACAATAGAAAACTGAGGTCCCACTAGTAATTCCAGGGTCTTAAATACACGGATTGTCACCCAGGAGCCTCTTAGCCCAGGGAAGTGTGGTGTGTGCTCCTCCTGTGAGACACACCTGCCCCCACCTGTGACCCTGTCTAATGTTCTGTCACTGTGTGGTAGGAGAACCCAACTTACCATCTAACACAAGTCTTGACTAAATCTTCAAAATCTGACTTATCTAAATAGATTCATAAATGCCCTCTGAGCCCCTCTTGTGTTGAAAAGTACTAGCTGGTGCTGATATACCATCACAGCTTTTGCCTTCATGGGGCTCTATCTTGAAAGTCCAGAAGAAAATACCGAGACATTAAAGAGAAGAGAAGGAAACAGGGAGAAGGAGAGAAAATGCAGAGCCAGGTGGTCTTCCTACTCTGGAGTCCTTTGCTGCCAGTTTCTTTTCATCAGGCAAGAGAGGCTGGACTGTCTTCTCAGAGCCTGGAACTTGATGAAACGTCATTTGCAAATATCTTCTCCGATTCTGTTGGTTGTCTTTTAGTTTTGTTGACTGTTTCTTTTGCAGAAGCTTTTGCTCTTGATGAAGTCCCAATAATTCATTTTTGCTTTTGTTTCCCTTGCCTTCATAGATGTATTTTTCAAGAAGTTGCTGTGGCCAAGTTCAAAAAGGGTGTTGCCTGTGCTCTCCTCTAGGATTTTGATGGATTCTTGTCTCACATTTAGATCCTTCATCCATTTTGAGTTGATCTTTGTGTCTGGTGCAAGAGAGTGGTCTAGTTTCATTCTTCTGCATGTGGATGTCCAATTTTCCCAGAACAATTTATTGAAGAGACTGTCCTTTTCCCAGTGGATAGTCTTTTCTGCTTTGTCAAAGATTAGTTGACCATAGAGTTGAGGGTCCACTTCTGGGTTGTCTATTCTGTTCCATTGATCTACGTGTCTATTTTTTTTAATTTTTTTAAAATTTATTTATGACAGTCACAGAGAGAGAGAGAGAGGCAGAGACACAGGCAGAGGGAGAAGCAGGCTCCATGCACCGGGAGCCTGATGTGGGATTCGATCCCGGCTCTCCAGGATCGCGCCTTGGGCCAAAGACCGGCGCTAAACCACTGCGCCACCCAGGGATCCCGTGTCTGTTTTTTTTTTTTAATTTATAAATTTATTTTTTATTGGTGTTCAATTTGCCAACATATAGAATAACACCCAGTGCTCATCCTGTCAGTGCCCACCTCAGTGCCGTCACCCAGTCACCCCCACCCCCCGCCCACCTCCCCTTCCACCACCCCTAGTTCGTTTCCCAGAGTTAGGAGTCTCTCATGTTCTGTCTCCCTTTCTGATATTTCCCACTCATTTTTTCTCCTTTCCCCTTTATTCCCTTTCACTAATTTTTATATTTCCCAAATGAATGAGACCATATAATGTTTGTCCTTCTCCGATTGACTTATTTCACTCAGCATAATACCCTCCAGTTCCATCCACGTCTGTTTTTAAGATTTGTCTGGAATCAGAAAAGATCCCGAATAGCCAGGGTAATATTAAAAAAGAAAACCATAGCTGGGGGCATCCCAGCAACTTTTAAAGTCTTTCATCACGGGAAATATCAGAAAGGGAGACAGAACATGAAAGACTCCTAACTCTGGGAAACGAACTAGGGGTGGTGGAAGGGGAGGTGGGTGGGGGGTCGGGGTGACTGGGTGACGGCACTGAGGTGGGCACTGACGGGATGAACACTGGGTGTTATTCTATATGTTGGCAAATTGAACACCAATAAAAAATAAATTTAAAAAATAGAATTATATACATTTTTGAGGTAATAGAGAGCTTGCTCATCTTCACTGAATAAAATAGATTAACCCGAAAAAAAAAAAGTATTTTGTCTACACCCTGGTGATGCTGTTGTTGTGTGGATAGGACTTTGCAGCCACAGGACACCAAGAACATGTTTTTAGGAAGAGGAGAATGAAGGAAAAGGGTGAGGGGGCAGAAAAAGGGAGAAGAGGAGACTGGGGGTTGAAGAAATCTGCCTTCCCCCTGTGGGTGCTATGATGGAGAGAAAGGGGAAGTGTGCAGTCTCTAAAAGAAGATGGAAAGCATGTTTGGAAGGTGGAGGCAGAGGCAGAAGGTACTGGTTTTTATTGATTAAAGAGCACCTAGCCAACCTATGGAAGGCTTAATGACCTCCTGAATTGGCACCAGTTTCTTCCATTGCTCGGGCAAAGAAATTGAGGTTCAGTCAGTTATAGAAGCTGTCTAAAGTCCCAGTACCAAACAGAGGAGAAATGTGGAGAGGCTTGAATGTACCCCAAGACATATGGGCTGCCCATGCTCACTGGCTATCAGTCTGTGAGATGTCACCACAGGTCCCAAGGGGGTTTCAGAATTGAAAGGGGACGGTCCTTGCCTGTGCCAGGGCTGGGTCAAATGGACCACGAATGGGGATATAGCTAGATGGGACAACTCTGTTAATGTGGCCTAGAAGAAACAGTCTTGCAGGGAGAGGGACAGACCCTAGATGACCTCTTGGAGGCTCCACCTGAGGTTTCAGGCCTAGAGGAAGGTGTTTCAGCTGTGGTTGGAGCTGGCAGGCTGCTTGCTGCCAGGCAAGCATCCCCCTTCTGAAAGATCAGATCTCTGTGTGCGTTCCTCTGTTTGTGAACTTCATGTTCTAGGCCAAAGGGAAGAGGAGCAGGGAGAACAAAAATGCCTCTGAGAGTCCTTATAGATTTCCTTTTGTTTGGGAAGTCACTTAATCTCAGCTGAGCTCACACACAATGTGTGGATCTATTCCTGGCTCTAAACAATGCAAAGTTAAGAAGCTGCTTCCTCTGGGACCCTTTGGCCTTGTACCCTTGGAGCTCCATGAGTCCAAGCAAGGTCAGACACACCACTAGCAGTGACACCTGGTAAAATTAGATGCAGCTTTCACATCTGGCTATAGTTTAAAAGAAGCCAAGCCCTGGGATTGCTAAGAACTATTATTTTAAAAAATTGAAGCAGCACAAACATTGGGCCTGCTGGGCTGTGTTCCAGCTCTCCTGCATCCACTCCAGCATCTCTCTGTTCCTTTCTAGGTGGCCTCCACCACTGAGAAGAAATGATGTATTTCCCAGTCTTCCTGGACCTCTCCCAGAAAGTTCCTGTGCTCAGTGGTGTCTTTTTCCTCACCCATCTGATTCTTCTCCTCCAGCCTGTAGAGCTGAACTCAGGTAGTACGTCAAACCTGTGGCCCAGCCAGGCCATGAGCACCTCAGCTTCTGCCCGCCTGCCTCCCAGGTGCTCCCAAGCTGAGATCCACAGTCTACTAGGCTATATCAGGTGCTCCACTCCCACATATATGCTGCAGCTTCTGAAGGGCAGGAAGGATCTCAGGCTTAACTTCTCTCATGAAAGAAGCAACCAACAGAGAGTATAAACTAATTAGGCAAATGCAATTCTCTGATTCCCTGTGCTGGAAACTAGGGAAACCAAAATGACCAGGTACATCCCAGGTCCTCAAAAAGGTCAAGAGAGCTTTTATGTAATGACATAAAAGCTTTTCAGCTATATGACTGCAAGATAAACATTAACCAGAGATGTGTAATTGCAACTAAGAGAGAAATTTATTTTTTTTCCAAAAAGCCAAGAAGAACCCTAGAGAGGAAGTACTGCTTGAGTAGGCCCCTGAAGGATATTTAATTTCCAAGAAGATGACAGATGGAGGGTAAACTGAGGCAGGCCATACCCCAGGAAGAGGGCCAGGCATCAAGTATAAGGGAAGAAGCAGCTTGAGACAACCTGAAAACAGAAGCTAGTAAGGAGGGTATTGGGGCTATACCCAGTGGGCAATAAGGTATTTCAAATGGAGTGAACAAAAACAAAAGAACCACTATGTTCTATAAGCAAAGTGAAGTATAGGAGGGATCCATGAAGAGGGAGCTTTGGGAGTAGGTTTTAGTTGAGCTTCAAAGGAAGAAAAGGAGGTACAAGAAAAGACGAAGCCATAAAGAAAAGTGAGGGCAACTTGAATGGCATGAATAAACAACACATGCATAGGGACTGCAACAGGAATAGTAACTCATGGGAATTGAAGAAAACAGGGAGTAGAGGAGCCATGGAGCCATGTTTTAAGAGGCACCATTTAAGAGGATTATCAAATAGAAAATCTTAATCAAAATCTTGAAGATAAGATTTGGCCTTCAGATAGGAAAACACATGAAGCAAGGAGCCCCCACAGATTATATTAATACCCTTTGTTATTACAGAAGCTATACATGTGCATTATAAAAAATTAGAAAATCAGACAAGGAAAAAACAAGAAAATATTTATTCCCATCATGCAGAAATTACCTCCATCAACCATTTGGTACATCTCATTTTGGACCTTTTTTCCTACATATGTTTTTATGCAAATATGTCATTTTTTAATCAAATAAGAGAATAATAGTATACATATTTTTTAACTTGGTTTTTTTTTTTTGGTCAAAGACTCCTTTTCATTTAATGTCCTGGCTATATTTACATAACTGTCTCCAAAAGGACATTTGCAGCTGGTTGGTTCAAACTAATTACTAGTCCAGCACCACACATTGTATCTGGTTGTAATATCCTTTGTGTATATTTTAATCTGGCATATTCATGACAACTACTTGAGCCAGTTGTCCTGTAAAGTGTCTTTCATCATTTGAATGCTTTACTGTAGATTCCTGAGCTGTAAAGGTATGTGATAAAAACTTACTTTTGAAGAGAGCTGATGTTGGCTGTCATTCTGGTTTCTCATCCTAGAGGAGGTCAAGGTCATAGGCCCTGGGGAACCCATCCTGGCACTTGTAGGGGAAGAGGTGGAGTTCTCATGCTACCTGTCACCATACTTGGATGCCGAGGATATGGAGATCCGCTGGTTCCGGAGTCACACCTCTGATGTGGTGCACCTGTACCATGGTGGGCAGGAGCTCCACAGCCAGCAAATGGTGCAGTTCCAGAACAGGACCAAACTCATCAAGGATTTTATCATGGATGGTATGGTAAACCTAAAACTCCATGGTATCATTCCTGCTGATGAGGGCCTTTATGGGTGCCGTTTCCTCTCCACCAACTTCTCCAAGGAAGCGATCTGGGAGCTAGAGGTAGCAGGTATGTGACTTGGCAAAAGTGATAGAGAAAAGTGCCCATTTGGACACAACTGCTTTGCTCAATAGTAGACAGAGAAAGGGAAAACACATCTAATTAAAAAAAAACTATTAAAAAGGAAAATTTGTTACAAAATTAACAAAATAAATGTTCCAAAAAAGATACACAAATGACCCTTAAACATATGAAAATATGTTCATCCTTACCCATCATGAAAGAAAAGCAAATTAAAGCTACACTGAGATGGATTTTTTTTACCTCTGAGACTGGCAAAAATTCAACAGGTTGAGCATACGCACTTGGTAGAGCCGTGGGGAAGAAGAAATCTGTACCCTGGAACTCAAAGCAAAACTCCAGTGCATGGGAATTTGGCAGCAGCTAACAGCACTGCCTGTACATCTGCTCTTTGAACTGCAACCCCACTTCTAGAAGTTTACCTGAAGATAAGCCTCCTATAGCTCCAATATGAAAAAAGTGTACATATAAGTTTAATCATCACAGCATGATTTGTAATTCTACAACAGTGCTTTATCTAAGCAAAAGTGTTGAGTATGGTCCATCACACAATGGACTGATCCACTCTATGAACCTGAAAAAAAATGAAGAGGAGCTCTAGGAAGTGATGTAGAGTGATTTCTAGGATATTGGTAAGAGATAAAAGCAAGATGCAAAAGAGGTTGTATAATATGTAACCTTTTGTGTAAGAAAGAAGAAACATTGCAAAAAAAGAACACAGGAAGGGATACACTAGGAACTAATGAAATTGGTTACTTAAGGGAGAGGAGGGAGCATTGGATGGACAAAGGTTACATTATGGCTGTTTAAACATATCAATGTTTTGCATATTCAAAATGTGAAGTTAGCTCCACAGGATGGGAAGATGCAGGAGTGTGTATGATACAGGCACCTAAACTATGGTGGGATTCAAGAGAGACAGAGGACAATCTATGGAAATTTGGAGTGGGATTTTTCTTTACTTCAGGGGACTGTCTCTTGCATAATATGACTAAATGCCAGTAGCCCTTCTGGCCAAATGGCCCCCCACAGTATTTCCAAATGTCCCTTGGGGTACTGCTGTCCACATGTCCCACATGCCACCACCAATTTAGACTGCCATTTATAGTCCACAGTTGAGGGCTGTGAACCCACATGGGTGTTAAAAGCAGTCACAGTTTATGATACCTTATAATGACTGCAGACATTGCACAGTGGCATGAACTTCATGTACAACTTCTGGGAGGGAGCCTGATCTTTCCCACTCTTCCTGCCTCTCTCAGGGCTTGGCTCAGACCCTCACATCTCCCTTGAGGGCTTCAAGGAGGGAGGCATTCAGCTGAAGTGCAGCTCCAGTGGCTGGTACCTAAAACCCCAGGCACAGTGGAAAGATCATAAAGGACAGTGCCTGTCTCCAGAGATGGAAGCCATTGTCCAGGATGCCCAGAGCCTGTTCAATCTGGAAACGTCCGTGGTTGTCCAAGGGGATGCCCACAACAATGTGTCTTGCTCCATCCAGAACTCCTTCCTGATCCAGAAGAAAGAGTTCACCATCCAGATAGCAGGTTAGTGGATGCTGACTAACTCTAATTTTCCTGCTCACCATGTGCTCCATGTGCATTGTTCCAAAGGCCATCTAAAGCAGCTCAATGGTACTGGGGCCCGGTTGTCTCTGGGGTGGACTGACCTTGATACTTGAAAAGTCAGCGCTTTGGATATCAGGAACCTACTAAGAGTACAACAGCTTACCTCTCACCCAAACAGTATGCTGGGGAAGCCCCAGGGAATCATCATTATGCACCAAAGGTTTTGCCCTAAAACCCAGAAACTACTCATTGGAGATCATAATGAGAGCTCATATGCTCCTAATTTCATCCCTCGAATGATAGGTGTAAATATCTACAATGTGCCCCAAACTTTTGCCTTAAGGTTCACATTCCTGTGGTGAAAATACAAACAAAAGAGTGAATTATAAGGTTAGAAGACATTAGGTGCTGTACAGAAAAACGAAGCAGGGAAGGGTGCTAAGGTATTGTGCGGTGCACATGTAGATTTAAAAGTAGTAGGTTAGGGAAGAAGATAGGCAGTGAATTGAAGAGTGAGGCTATTATCTAGGACCAAAGTCTTATTATGAGGGTTTAATGATTTAAAACCAGTTGTTTTAAGTCTTGAGGAAAAACCTAACCTATGGGCCATACTTCACATTGGTAAAAATCAATAATTTTATTACAGTTGACCTTTGAACAATTCAGGGGGTTAAGGGTGCTGACCAACCTCAGCCCTGCATGTTTGTAAATCCACATATAACTTTTGACTCCCCAAAATTTAACTACTAATAAATAATATATGTTGACTGTTAATATAAGTAGAAGCTTAACACAGATTTTGTATGTTATATGTATTACATGCTGTATTCTTACAATCAGGTAAACTAGAGATAAGAGAATGTTATTAAAAAGAAAAAAAAACAGGGATGCCTGGGTGGCTCGGCAGTTAAGCGCCTGCCTTCCGCCCAGGGCATGATCCTGGAGTCCCAGGATTGAGTCCCACATCAGGCTCCCTGCATGGAGCCTGCTTCTCTCTCTGCCTGTGTCTCTGCCTCTCTCTCTCTCTCTCTCTCTCTCTCTCTCTCTCATGAATAAGTAAATAAAAATCTTTAAAAAAGAAAAAGAAAAAACATAAGGAGCTTGAGGAAATGGTGAAGTAGGAAGATCCTAAGCTCACCTTGTCCCATGTTCACAGCTAGATATCATCCACATCCAGAAAGGCAGTAGGACGATGCATGCATGGAGAAGGCAGAAAAATGGGCCCTAACACAAAGGAGTTTCCACCGGGAAGACTATTTCCCATAATGTTTGTCATTAAAAACTAAATAGAGTGCATTCTGTGAGTTTGTAAAAATAATAGGATTTGGAGCCTGGAGCTTTATTTTTTTATCTTTTATTTTTAAAAAGATTTTATTTATTTATTCATGAGAGACACAGAGAAAGAGGCAGAGACACAGGCAGAGAGAGAAGCAAGGTCCTCACAGGAAACCCAATGAGGGACTCGATCCCAGGACTCCAGGATCATGTCCTGAGCCAAAGGTAGATGCTCAACCACTGAGACACCCAGGTGCCCCTGGAGCCTAGAGCTTTATTTTATTTTATTTTTATTTATGATAGTCAGAGAGAGAGAGAGAGAGAGAGAGAGAGAGAGAGAGAGAGAGAGGCAGAGACACAGGCAGAGGGAGAAGCAGGCTCCATGCACCGGGAGCCCGACGTGGGATTCGATCCCGGGTCTCCAGGATCGTGCCCTGGGCCAAAGGCAGGCGCCAAACCGCTGCGCCACCCAGGGATCCCCGAGCCTAGAGCTTTAAAAGTCAGCTGACTCAGCACTGGGTAAGTTGGCAGTGCAAGTGACAGGTGGGTTGCTGCCTTTAAAGAGACGGCAGCCTGCACAGAGAGGCAACATGGAAAAGGCACTGAGGGGGGCACTTGACGGGATGAGCACTGGGTGTTATTCTGTATGTTTCCAAATTGAACACCAATAAAAAATAAATTTATTATTTAAAAAAAGAAAGAAAAGGCAGTTTAACAAAGCTGGGGTAAATGGGAGTCATATCTATTTATACTGATTTCAGAGAGTGTTGGGGGACTTCTCTAAAAATGAGGGAGCTGGCAGGCACTATTTCCCACCCCCAATCCCAGCATAAACACAGAGCCAGGTGCTGGAGTAGGACTGCACAGACACACAGTCTCAACCCAGAGCTCAGGGCAAATTTTGTTAAAGCTGAACATGCACCCTACCCAGCCAACAGATGCATAACTGCCACAAGACACCATGCCAGGCTGCAGTGCAGTGCCCAGCCATGTATCACCAGCCATCATCACAAGCCAGGCCCAGCTGCACCCAGCCATCATTGAGCATTGTTACCAGCCTTGTACCCCCAACCAGTCTGGCAAGAGCCCCCAGCCACCATAGTGCTTTCGGGGATCTGGCATTGGACTAGTGGCCCAATGCAAATATTGCTAATACCACCACCACTCCCATGTTCCCCAGTGGGTACATCCACTCAGAACTAGCATGCCTGGGTTCCACTAACATCACAGAGAGCAAGCACAACCACAACAGGAAGAGAGTGAGGGTAGAGAACTACATTGAAAAGATAGTGATTCAAACACAACAGCAAGGCATAAGTGAAACACGTAGTATGTTTCCCTGAAGTGCCAGTTCCTGGGAAATGGGGGACAATCTATTGCAGGGCACTCTAGGACCTACTCTTCATAAAGCACTACTTTCAATAGCAGAGAACTTTCTTAACAGACAGAAATAGACACAGAGAGGATAAGATGAAGAGACAGAAATTTATCACAATGAAAGAATGAGATAAGGCCAGGGAAGAGATCTAAGTGAAACAGATAAAAGTAACATGCGTGATACAGAATTTAAAGCAATGATCATAAGGATACTTACTGGACTTCAGAAAAGACTGGAGGACATGAATGAAGCACTTAACACAGAGATAAGGAAAAACATAGCAGAGGGCACAATAAATGAAACCAAAACATGCTTGATGAAAACAGCAAGCATGAAGAAGCAGAGGAATGAAGTAGTGACCTAGAAGATAGAGTAATGGAAAGCAACAAGGTGAACACAAGAGAAGAAAAAACAATGAGAAAAAAAATGAAAAAAAAATGAGAATAGACTTACGGAACTCAATGACTCCATCAAACTTAGTAACTTCATATTATAGGAGTCTCAGAAGAAGAGAGAGAAAAAAGGTGGCACAAAATTTATTTGAAGAAATAATTCCTGAAAACGTCCCGAAGCTGGGAAAATAAACAGATATCCAGACCCAGGAGGTACAGAGGACTCCATCAAAATCAACAAAAGGAGACCCACATTAAGAAATACTGTAATTATTTTTTTTAATTTATTTATTCATGATAGAGAAAAAGAGAGAGAGAGAGAGAGAGAGAGGCAGAGACACAGGAGGAGGTAGAAGCAGGCTCCATGCTGGGAGCCCGATGTGGGACCCAATCCCAGGACTCCAGGATCGCGCCCTGGGCCAAAGGCAGGCGCTAAACCGCTGAGCCACCCAGGGATCCCCAAAATACTGTAATTAAATTCCAAAATATAGTGATAAAGAAAAAAATCTTTAAGGCAACAAGATAAAAGAAGTCAGTAACTTACAAAGGAGCCATTAGGTTAGCAAGAGATTTTTCAACAGAAACTTTATAAGCCAGAATGGAATGACATGATATATTCAAAGTGCTGAATGGGAAAAATCTTCAGGAAAGAATACTCTATCTAGTAAAGCTACATTCAGAATAGGAGAGATAAGGAGTTTCCCAGGCAAATAAAAACTAAAGCAGTTCATGACCATTAAACTGGCCTTGCAAGAAATATTAAAAGGGTCTTTACATGGAAAGAAGAGACCAAAAGTCACAGTACAAAGATAGGGGGGAAATGCAGGAAAAATAATCTATAAGGAAACTTACAAAAAAAGGATATATGTGAAATTTTTTCTTTTCCTTACTTTTATTTATTTATTTTTATTGCAGTTTGATTTGCCAACATATAGTATAACACCCAGTGCTCATCCCGTCAAGTGCCCTCCTCAGTGCCCATCACCCAGTCACCCCATCTGCCTGCCTACCTCCCTTTCCACTACCCTTTGTTCGTTTCCCAGAGTTAGGAGTCCCTCATGCTTTGTCACCCTCTCTGATTTTTCCCACTCATTTTCCCTCCTTTCCCTTATAATCCCTTTCACTATTTTTTATATCCCTCCTATGAGTGAAGCTATATAATTATTGTCCTTCTCCGATTGACTTACTTCACTCAGCATAATACCCTCCAGTTCCATCCACGTTGAAGCAAATGGTGGGTATTCGTCCTTTCTAATGGCTGAATAATATTCCATTGTATATGTAAACCACATCTTCTTTATCTATTCATTTTTCGATGGATTCCAAGGCTCCTTCCACAGCTTGGCTATTGTGAACATTGCTGCTATAAACATTGGGGTGCAGGTGTCCCGGCATTTCACTACATCTGTATCTTTGGGGTAAATCCCCAGCAGTGCAATTACTGGTTTATAGGGAAGATCTGTTGTAAACTTCTTGAGGAATCTCCACGCAGTTTTCCAAAGTGGCTGCATCAGTTTTCATTCCCACCAACAGTGCAAGAAGCTTTCTCCACATCCTCTCCAACATTTGTTGTTTCTTGTTAATTTTCCCCATTCTCACTGGTGTGAGGTGGTATCTCATTGTGGTTTTGACTTGTATTTCCCTGATGGCAAGTGATGTGGAGCATTTTCTCATGTGCTTGACTTATAGGTCTGAGCTTTGCAAATCATGTGTAGTGAGGGACCAATCCCTGTGGCCCAATACTTTTGTACAAGACAATAAGAATGCACTACTAGAAAAACTAATTTGAAAACCACAAAAACATATAAAGCTAAGTGAAATTAGCCATACACCAAAGGGCAAATATTGTTTGATTCGCTTACAGGGAGGTACCTAGAGTATTCAAATTCATGAAGATGGAAAGTAGAATGGAAGTTGCCAGTTGCCAGAGAGTGGAGGGGGTGGGCAGGAAATGAGGAGTTAGTGTTAATTTCAGTTTGGGAAGACCAAAAGAGTTCTGGATATGGATGGTGATGATAATCCACAACAATGTGAAAGTAACTTAATGCCACTGAATTGTACCTTTAAAAATGGTTAAGATGGTGAATTTTGTCAAATATTTTACTGCAGTTAAAGAAGAAAAATGTATTTCTAAAAAGACCACCGAGATAAAGCTGAGATAAAAATTATTTTTAAAATAATTATCTCCAACAGACACCAAATTATTGTTAAATTTCCACAAGATTTTCTAAAGGGTTACTGTCTCTTTTTTATAACTTATTTTATTTTTTTATTTAAGTTCAGTTTGCCAACATGTAGTATAACATCCAGTGCTCCTCATATCACTTACCCTCCTTAATGACCGGCACCCAGCTACCCATTCCCCACCCTTCCACAACCCTGTGTTTGTTTCCCAGAGTCCCAGGTCTCTCATGGTTTTCCTCTCTAATTTTTCCCCTACTCAGTTTCCCTCCTTTCCCTTATGGTCCCTTTCACTATTTCTTATATTCCACATATGAGTGAAACCATATGATAATTGTCTTTCTCTGATGGACTTATTTCAAAACTTAGCATAATACCCTCCAGTTCTATCCACATCGAAGCAAATGGTGGGTATTCGTCCTTTCCGATGGCTGAATAATATTCCATTGTATATATCCATTGTACATATAGATCATATCTTCTGTATCCATTCATCTGTTGAAGGACATTGAGGCTCCTTCCACAGTTTGGCTATTGTTATCATTGCTGCTATAAACATTGGGGTGCAGGTGTCCTGGGGTTTCACTGCATCTGTATCTTTGAGGTAAATACCCAGTAGTGCAATTGCTGGATCATAGGGTAGCTCTATTTTTAACTTCTTGAGGAGCTGCCATACTATTTTCCAGAGTGGCTGCACCAACTTGCATTTCCACCAGGGTAAAAGTGTTCCCCTTTCTCCACATCCTCACCACATTTGTTACTTCCTGTCTTGTTAATTTTAGCCATTCTCACCGGTGTAAAGTGGTTTTGATTTGTATTTCTACAGGGTTACTTTCCATCTTGCATGTATCTCTTTGCCTACTGCCCCTGGCAGAGGTGGCCTGGGCCACTGCCTGCCTGAGGGCAAAGTCTCCCCAGTGAGTCTGGAGAGGACAAGAGGGAACTGGCAGTTAGGGTATGGGTGGTTTCTGCTAACAATTCTTCCAAAGGGTGATGAGAAGTAGAAGCAAATGTCTGCAAGAACAATGACTTGTGGGTTTGACCGTGGAGATAGCAATAATTCACTGGCTTTTGGATACCAACACCTTGGACCTCCTGTTCTTCAGAAACAGGGCAATTATAGAGAGAAGTTTAGGGCGGGCAGGGCCATGGTCAAAAGCTGGGGGAGAGGGTGGGGGTTCCTTCCACGTCCTTCAATTTGCATTTTCCATTTCTGCTAAGCGAGTTCAAGTCCGCTACCATTCCTCAGGCTCCTACCTGGGAAGGGCGCCCAGGGCGGCCGCTCTCATGCCCATTTTACGGATTGCTATGGTGCTGCCCAGGAGGCTTAACGCCTGCCACCTTGGAATGATTTCCGGGACGCTGGGTCCAGAATAGGCTTATCACTTAGTGTTTAGTGGCGCCTAAAGTGAAGCAACTCCCTGTGAGGTATTTTCCAGACGTATTTTTACCCGGAAACTCCCCTTGGAAGAGGGCTTTCCTCGGGATTCTGGTGGGCCTGTCGCTCCTCCTGGCTCTCCTCGTGACTCTGGCGCTGTACTTCTTTCAGAAGCAACGGAGGTCCCAAGGTACAGGGCCAGCCCGGGGGGGGGGGGGGGGGGGAGGTGGTCTCCCGCCTGGCGCCGGCTTTGCTTGGAGGAAGGCGCTGGAGGCGGGCGGCGGGGGTAGCTCGGAGGCGACCTCCTGCGGGAGCGCGGAGCTGGGTGGGACACGGGGAGGAGAGGCGAGCGCTTACCGTCACGCACGCTCCCCTTCCTTCGTTCTTCCAGAAAAACGGAAGGAGCAGGCTGACAAGGACAAAGGTAAGCAGGGAAAAAGGCCCATTCTTTGCCCGCTTCCCCAAGTAGCAGAAAGTGGTGCGGGGAGGAGAACTTTGCTGGGTACTTCAGACCTGGGCGCTTGGAAGCGGGACAGAAACTCCGTGTGCTGGAGATTTGCTTTGCCGCTTCCCGTAAGCACCAGTGCGTGCGGTCCGTCCAGGTTCCCCAGAGCGCACGAGGGCCCAGTCTGTGCACTTTGGAGGAAGTGAGGCCTCAGTGTTCAACTGAGATTTTTCCTTTTTTCTTCGTTTCTTTTCCAGAGATACTCACAGCGAACTTGGGTAAGTTCTGGGTGCCACGCCCACAGTTCTGGCTGCGGACTAGCGGGGTAACCCGATGAGTGAGCTGCGGAAGGTGTTCAGTAGGTTTAGGCTCCCAGTGGAGAGGATGGCAACGATCTAATTCTAGATCCATCCGTGTGCACTTCCCATCTCTCCACTCCCCCATGACTCATCTGCAGCTGAGGACTGACTTCAGACCCTCAGACAAACCCTACCTGCCCCTTTCCTGCAAATTATACAATTTGTTTATGGTTCCACCATTAAACGTTTTACTCCCACTGGTTCATCTTCCTAGGTATCTTTCTCTCTTTCTAAAACGATTTTATTTGAGAGAGAGAGCACAAGCAGGGATAGTGGCAGAGGGAGAGGGAGAAGCAGGCTCCCCACTGAGCAGGAAGCCCACTGTCCCAGGGCTCCATCCCAGGACCCTGGGAGCATGACTTGAGCCTAAAGCAGGCACTTAACCCACTGAGCCACCCAGGAGCCCCCCGTCTTTCTCTTTTTAATTCAAATGCCACTGCGAAGGAAGGTACCTTTAACTTGCACCAAAGTGTGACTAATTTTTCAGGTTCACTTTTCCCCCCAGGGGGACTCAAGACCTTGAAACCATGGGCTGTGTGTGTCTGTACAGAGGAGGGGACAGTAAATCCAAAGGAAGAGTAGCATGGAGGAAGACTACCAAGGGGGCAGGTGGGGTGGGGAAGACCTCAAGAACCACTTCATATGTCCCAGTAAACATCCAGAAGAAATTATGAGATTAGAGAAGCTTGGCTTGTAGTCCACTTAATCTTGTGGAAGGCCAACTATAATAAGTAATTAACACCATAGTCTGAATTAGTGTACAGCGTTGCCTTTCCCAGGAGACAGTACCTTTTTAAAAAGTGTTTAATTCCAGTTAGTTGACATACAGTGTTATTTTAGTTTCAGGTGTACAATATAGTGATTCAACACTTCCATATATCACCTTATGCTCATACAGACAAGTGCTCTCCTTAATCCCCATCACATCTTTAACCCACACACCCACTGGTAATCATCGCTTTGTTCTTGATAATTAAGCCTTTTTCTTGGTTTGTCGTTTTTTTTTTCTTTCTGTGCAAACCTAGATTTTATTTTTATTTATTTATTTTTAATTAAAAATTTTTATTGGAATTCAATTTGCCAACATATAGCATATCACCCAGTGCTCATCCTGTCAAGCGACCCCCTCAGTGCCCGCCACCCAGTCTCCCCAACCCCCCGCCCACCTCCCCTTCCACTACCCCTTGTTCATTTCCCAGAGTTAGGAGTCTCTCATGTTTTGTCATCCTCACTGATATTTTCACTCATTTTCTCTCCTTTCCCCTTTATTCCTTTTCACTATTTTTTATATTCCCCAAATGAATGAGAACATACACTGTTTGTCCTTCTCCGATTGACTTATTTCACTCAGCATAATACCCTTGGTTTGTCTTTCTATTTCCCTTCACTTGTTTTGTTTCTTAAATTCCACATATGAGTGAAATCATATGATATTTGTCTTTCTCTGACTGATGTTGCTTCTTTTGTTGTCTGTCAATTTTAGCCATTCTGACAGGTATGAAATATCTCATTGTAGATTTGATTTGCACTTCCTGGATGATAAGTAATGATGAGCATCTTTTCATGTGTCTGTTGGCCATTTGTATGTCTTCCTTGGAAAAATGGGGGATTTTTTTTTCTTCTGCCCATTTTTAAATTGAATTATTTGTTTTTTGGGTGTTGAATTTTTAAAAAAAAAATATTTATTTATTCATGAGAGACACAGACTGAGAGAGAGAGAGAGAGAGAGAGAGAGAGACAGGCAGAGGGAGAAGCAGGCTCCATGCAGGGAGCCCGATGTGGGACTTGATCCCAGGACTCCAGGATCACACCCTGGACCGAAGGCAGGCACTAAACCGCTGAGCCACCCGGGGATCCCCTGGGTGTTGAATTTTTTAAGTACTTTCTGGATTTTGGAATTGGAATCTGGATTTTGGATACTTTATCAGATATGTCATTTGCAAATATCTTCTCCCATTCTGTTATCTTTTAGTTTTTTTATTGTCTCCTTTGCTGTGCAGATGCTTTTAATTTGATGAAGTCCCAAAGTTTGTTTTTGCTTTTGTTTACTTTGACTCAGAAGACATAACTACAAGAAGTTGCTACAGCCAATGTCAAAGAAGTTATTGGTGTGTTCTCCTCAAATGTTTCTATGGTTTCCTGACTCACTTTTAGTCTCTCATCCATTTTGAATTTATTTTTGTGTGTGACTTATGAAAGTAGTCCAGTTTCATTCTTTTGCATGTTACTGTCCAGTTTTTGCAACACTATTTGTTGACAAGTTTATCTTTTTTCCCATTGGATATTTTTTCCTGCTTTGTCAAAAATTAATAGACCATATAGGTGTGGGTTCATTTCTAGGCTCTCTATTGATTTCTGTGCCAGTACCATGCTGTTTTGATTACTCCAGCTTTGCTTTTCTGTTTCAAGATAGCGTTAGCTATTTACAGTCTTTTGTGTTTTGTTTTTTTTAAACTTTCAATACCTGAATTTATTTATCTATAAACTGGGAATCATACATTTTCTTATAGGTTTCTTTTTAATTCAAATGTATGAGGTTGTGTTTTATTTTTATTTTTATTTAATAAATTAATTTTTTATTGGTGTTCAATTTACCAACATACAGAATAACACCCAGTGCTCATCCCGTCAAGTGCCCCCCTCAGTGCCCGTCACCCATTCATCCGCACCCCCCCGCCCTCCTCCCCTTCCCCCACCCCTAGTTTGTTTCCCAGAGTCAGGAGTCTTTATGTTCTGTCTCCCTTTCTGATATTTCCCACACATTTCTTCTCCTTTCCCTTATATTCCCTTTCACTATTATTTATATTCCCCAAATGAATGAGAACATACACTGTTTGTCCTTCTCCAATTGACTCACTTCACTCAGCATAATACCCTCCAGTTCCATCCACGTCGAAGCAAATGGTGGGTATTTGTCGTTTCTAATGGCTGAGCAATATTCCATTGTATACATAAACCACATCTTTTTTTATCCATTCATCTTTCGATGGACACCGAGGCTCCTTCCACAGTTTGGCTATTGTGGACATGGCTGCTAGAAACATCGGGGTGCAGGTGTCCCGGCATTTCATTGCATCTGCATCTCTGGGGTAAATCCCCAACAGTGCAATTGCTGGGTCGTAGGGCAGGTCTATTTTTAACTCTTTGAGGAACCTCCACACATTTTCCAGAGTGGCTGCACCAGTTCACATTCCCACCAACAGTGTAAGAGGGTTCCCTTTTCTCCGCATCCTCTCCAACATTTGTTGTTTCCTGCCTTGTTAATTTTCCCCATTCTCACTGGTGTGAGGTGGTATCTCATTGTGGTTTTGATCTGTATTTCCCTGATGGCAAGTGATGCAGAGCATTTCCTCATGTGCTTGTTGGCCATGTCTATGTCTTCCTCTGTGAGATTTCTCTTCATGTCTTTTGCCCATTTCATGATTGGATTGTTTGTTTCTTTGGTGTTGAGTTTAATAAGTTCTTTATAGATCTTGGAAACTAACCCTTTATCTGATATGTCATTTGCAAATATCTTTTCCCATTCTGTAGGTTGTCTTTTAGTTTTGTTGATTGTATCCTTTGCTCTGCAAAGCTTCTTATCTTGATGAAGTCCCAATAGTTCATTTTTGCTTTTGTTTCTTTTGCCTTGGTGGATGTATCTTGCAAGAAGTTACTGTGGCTGAGTTCATAAAGGGTGTTGCCTGTGTTCTCCTCTAGGATTTTGATGGAATCTTGTCTCACATTTAGATCTTTCATCCATTTTGAGTTTATCTTTGTGTCTGGTGCAAGAGAGTGGTCTAGTTTCATTCTTCTGCATGTCGATGTCCAATTTTCCCAGCACCATCTATGGAAGAGACTGTCTTTCTTCCAGTGGATAGTCTTTCCTCCTATATCGAATATTAGTTGACCATAAAGTTCAGGGACTACTTCTGGGTTCTCTATTCTGTTCCATTGATCTATGTGTCTGTTTTTGTGCCAGTACCACACTGTCTTGATGACCACAGCTTTGTAGTACAACCTGAAATCTGGCATTGTGATGCCCCCAGATATGGTTTTCTTTTTTAAAATTCCCCTGGCTATTCGGGGTCTTTTCTGATTCCACACAAATCTTAAAATAATTTGTTCTAAGTCACTGAAGAAAGTTCATGGTATTTTGATAGGGATTACATTAAACGTGTAAATTGCCCTGGGTAACATTGACATTTTCACAATATTAATTCTGCCAATCCATGAGCATGGAATATTTTTCCATCTCTTTGTGTCTTCCTCAATTTCTTTCAGAAGTGTTCTATAGTTTTTAGGGTATAGATCCTTTACCTCTTTGGTTAGGTTTATTCCTAGGCATCTTATGCTTTTGGGTGCAATTGTAAATGGGATTGACTCCTTAATTTCTCTTTCTTCAGTCTCATTGTTAGTGTATAGGAATGCCATTGATTTCTGGGCATTGATTTTGTATCCTGCCACGCTACCAAATTGCTCTATGAGTTCTAGTAATCTTGGGGTGGAGGCTTTTGGGTTTTCTATGTAGAGTATCATGTCATCGGCGAAGAGGGAGAGTTTGACTTCTTCTTTGCCAATTTGAATGCCTTTAATGTCTTTTTGTTGTCTGATTGCTGATGCTACGACTTTTAGTACTATGTTGAATAGCAGTGGTGAGAGTGGACATCCCTGTCTTGGTCCTGATCTTAGGGGAAAGGCTCCCTCTTTTGTGGTTTTATACAAATTTTAGGACTGTTTGTACTAGTTCTGTGAAAAATGCCATAGGTATTTTGATAGGGATTGTGTTAAATGTGCATATTGATTTGGGTAGTACAGATATTTTAACAATATTTGTTCTTCCAATCCATGAACATGAAATGTCTTTCCATTTCTTTGTGTCATCTTCAATTTCTTTCATCAGAGTATTATAGTTTTCAGAGAACAAGTCTTTCACTTTT